GCAGACAAACAAATGATAATCGAACTTGAAAATATTCCAAATCCAACTTTTAAAGAGAGAATTCAAAGGGCATTAATCATTAAACTCTTGAAAGCAAAGATGAAAATGGGTATGGGATTAGCAGATGAAATACACAAAGAATTTAGAAACTTAACTGATTAATGGGAGGTAACACTGTTGTTTGTTTACTTCAAAGTAAAAGTCAAAGCAAAGTCCCAGTTTGTTATCGAAAAGTCCATTCCTTTTTTTTTTTTTTTTTTTTTTTTTTTTTTTTTTCGTTTCGTCCACACCTTCCCGAGCTTAGACTGCAGTAGTTGTAGCAACGTTTCAAATTTCATAGACCTTCTATATAGGTGACGATGTGCATAAATATAAATTGGAACATTTTTGCAAAACCGGAAGTGCCACAGTTCAACATGTGCAAAAAGTCGAAAATCGGCTCTAGAAGGCGCATTTTTGCATCGATTTTCTTCGGGTTTTCATTTTTACAATCTACCTGATTTCTGACCTGATAGCACTTGAAAAATTACGAAATTCGAAAATTCGTCGCTCACTTTTTTCGATCAAATTTTTCGATTTTTTTGCAACTTTTTTGCTTTTGCATCGATTGATCTGAAATTTTAAATGCAAAGAGACTTCACTAATGTTAATAATATGATACAGTCAAATTTTGTACGTCATTTCCGATTTTAAACAGGAAAGCGTCTGAACTTCATCACTACTTCCGGTTGAATAACTTCCGGTGTAATTTATGTAGGTCAACAAAATTTAGCTGATCTTTGGCAAATAAAATTTCATGGCCGATTTTAAAATAAAATCCAGACCGGGAGTGATACTTTGGCCGCCATATTGAAAAAACACACTTTTGTAAAACTCAAAATGGGGCCTCATGGTAAAGATTGATATGCTCAAATTTGATGTGAATGTATTCTGCAATCGATTGCGCAAAAAACATTGGGAGCATTGAATTTCGCTTTTGCTTTTTTGCAACTTCCGGTTAAATCTTTTTCCAACTTGAAACAACCACACCATATGACCTTGACCTTTGATAACCTTGACCTTCATAGGGTCAAAGGTCATTGACCTTGGCTATCATTTGATATTTTGACCTTTGACCTCCGACATGTACTTCCGGTTTTATAGCTATCCGTAAAAAGCCAAATTCGCAACTTTGGACTGCAGTAGCTCGTGACCTAATTAACCTAGAGGGTTAATTTTTTCGGTTTCCTAATGTGCTTCTCATGCACTTTACTTAGATATATAACAATCGTTCAAATTTTTTTTTTTACAATATTTGCGTCTTTTAGAGCTTGGTGTATGTATATCTTATGATCTATTTGATGGAGAACCTTGATATTTGGAATACAACTAAACACTTTGAATATGAATTCACCTATGACAAAAAAACTTATGTGGGCGTGGCACATCCGGGTTGAATTACTAATTGTTTACATTTAGAGGCAGGGGCATAACTCGCATAGGGTGCGTTTGTTCAAAAAGGGACTTTGCACACAATTACCTCATCCTTTTGGCCAGTTTGTGTTAACAGTTCAGTTGTTTCAGCTTTATAGTTCCAAAAAAGGAACGGGTTTTTTACATTTGGATTTTTCATTTTTCGATTTTGACCTTTGTTGACTTTTGTTGACCTATATCTTTTGACCTGTATTATGTAGGAGCTTGACATTTGGAACATAACGTAACATTTTGAATTGATACCTATTACTCATTATTGACATTTTTGGTCAGGGGCATAACTCGCAAAGTATACATTTGTTCAAAATTGAACTTTGCATACAAATACCTCATATTTTGAGCCACTTTGTCTTAGAATTTCGGTTGTTTCAACTTCATAATTCAACAAAAGGAACAGGTTTTAGAAATTCGATCTAGGGAAAATGAAGACACCATGTTATTCAAGTACTGTACAAGTTAAAGGGTCTTCAACAGTTGAAATTTTGAATAAGTACACTTCATGGCGTTTGGAAATTTAATTCTTTTAATATTTTGTAAAAAGAAGGGATGTATAAGCTTACCAGTAACTTGCTGTATCATGTGACGTAACCATGTATTGCCCGACCCAGGAAAACTGGCTAAAGCTGTCTTCGGCAAATTGTGAGA